CACACACTTCTAACAGCTGGAAATGGTGTGTGTGTGTGTGTGTGTGTGTGTGTGTGTGTGTGTGTGTGTGTGTGTGTGTGTGTGTGTGTGTGTGTGTGTGTGTGTGTGAAATAGACAAAGCTGAGAGAGACAAATATTTAAACATATAACAGTAATAAATATATAATATTATATTAATTAAACACTAACTTTACCTGTGTGTGGGACTATGAGGCGTTCATCTATGAACAAAACTGTGACACGTATGACACATAAACGTGAAGCTTATTTTAAGGTTATGGTAAAAACTAGTTTGTGGTGCCGTCAAGGTGGACGGTGGTTTTAGAGTGTAAGTGGGTAAAATGTGATCAGCTTAGCCTCTGAAAATATGTCAGAATGAGCGTGTAGCTGTGTGGTGAGGAGAGACTGGCTGAAAGTTAAACATGAGCAATGCTTTGTGGTTTGGATTTTTTTAAAGGCAAAATTGAAACTGTAAACATGCAGAAGGATCCCCAGACATAGACACACGCACGCCTAACGGCTCCAATCTGTGTGTGTGTGTGTGTGTGTATGTAACCACAGCAGAAAAAGCTTAGATAGACAAATATTCAAACTTATAACCTTATATTTAATAATCCTTGGGTACAACTTTACAATTTAGGAAACACTAATTTTAGTTGTGTGTTGCACTACGAGGCATTTCTGAACATTGCTGAACAAAACTGAGACGTGTGATGCATAAATGTGAAGCTTATTTTAAGGTGGTTTGTGGTGCTGTAGTGTCAAAGTGGACTGTAGTTTTGGGGTGTGCATAAGTAAAATGTGGTCAGTGTAGGCTCTGAAAATGTGTGAGAAAGAGTGTGTGACATGCGTGACGCATAAATGTGTAGCTTATTTTTTTCTCTTTTTTGATATCTGAGAGAAAACTATTTTATGACAAACACTTTTTACAGAGCTTTGGGTAGAAATTAGCTGCTGTTCTGTTCATTTTAATGTGTTTGTAATGAAGGAGAGTCATTATTATCCAGGGTGATTTTTGCATGCGTGCGTGCGTGCGTGTGTGTGTGTGTGTGCGTGTGTGTGTGTGTGTGGTAAATTAGCAGTTTATATGTTCAGGGATGCTTTTTGTAGTTTAAAAGCTATATGTTTCAGGAGGTGCAGGGTGTGATGCTGTGAGTGTGTGTGTGTGCATATGTGAGAGTGGGAGTGCAGACACTGTACGTCTGTGTGTCTCCATGTTGTGGACATGCAGGATTCAGAGTTGTGTGTGTTTCTGTGCTCAGTTTCAAAATGGACATTTTTTTCTTTTCTTTTCATTTGTCTGTAATAGTAAGACTTTGATTCGATGGTATAGACAGGAATAAATATTAAATGTGGAATGTTTGGATTCCTTCTTATAAATATGTTTGCTTGCCCATGCGATTGTGTGTGTGTGTGTGTGTGTGTGTGTGTGTGTGTGTGTGTGTGTGTGTGTG